GACAGCGGGCAAGCAGTCTCCAGCCACCCAGTCGCAAGGGCCTGGCCTCTAGTCCCCTGGTTTCTCCTGCTAGACCAGATTTCCCCTGAGTGATGCCTCTCGGCAGTTCAAACTGTACTCTGGGCCTGCCATTTGTTGGGTGTGGAGGGTGGCCATTGGGAACCCCGGCACTCTATTGTTTTGATTTTTTCTGCTTGCCCCTCTCCCAGCGCTGGCTAGACAGGTTTGGTTTTCGCCACTAATTGGAGGGGGAGTTGAAGGTCAGGTGTCTCTAGTTTTCCCCGAGTCTTTATGCAGGTTCACTCTGATAATCCCTTCCTAGGAAAGCCTAGGAGAGATTTTATGTGAATTCCCTGCTGTATGGTAGATGAGCTGAGTAACACACACCTGTTTTATTGTTGCATCTGTGGGAGAGTGGCGGTGGTTACGTCAGCTCTCCAAGATGGTGGCCGCTGGTTTCCTTGGTGGAGTTTCCATCGTGGGGGATAGAACTGTAACGCTTCCTTCCCTGTCTGAAATCCCTAACTCAGCCTGGGGGTCAGCGAGGGCACAGCCAGCAGGATTCCACAGAATCCACAGCGCCGCTTCTTGGTGTCGCCCCGCCATCTGTAGCCGGGGGGCGGGCCGCGCGGATCAGTCAGCCCGCCAAACATTATAACTTAATCTGAGCTTCAATTTCTTCATGTGTAAGCTGGAAATAATATGTAATTCATGGAATTTTCTGCAGGATAGAAAGAAACTATTATCCATAAGCTACTCACTTAAGTTTCCAGCATAAAATCATTGCTCCAAAAGATTAGCCATCAATTTTACTGTCTTTTCTGTCATATAATTCAAGTACAATGCCTTATTTCTTTTATCCCACATTCTATCAGGCAAAGCAACCCCACGGAGTAGCTAGTCAATAAACATTTGTTAAAGTAGTTAGAGATAAGGCAGGCATTTTAAAAGGAAATAGCTTTTCCTTGTGGAAAAGATGAAGCAGCAGCTGTATTTGGACTTAAGGGAGGACTATTCATTTCTGATGCATAAACTTCCCCATATTTATTCCCTGCTCTTCTACCACTGCAGACTTTTCAGGGTGACTCGAAAGATAGAGGATGAAATGACAGTCCAAGGACCTTCCTGAGGTGACTGCATATGTATCTATGAATGTTTTGTGATCTTTAATCAGTCAGCTTCTGTGTGAAACTTATAAAATTTTATAAAATTCATAAACATTTTTGTAAAATACTAATTTTAAGAATTATGTATCAGATTCAAATAAACTGTCACCAAGTAAGCAGTAAATTGGAAGGTTAGAAAAGACTTTAAAGGGTAGTTTCTTGCTTTTYTAAAAGAAGTTAATAGGATAAGACTTACAGGATGCCAGAATATAGATAGCTACCATAAAAATTCATTTCTTAGACTTCATTGATGGTAGAATGTTTTATCACTAAACAAGTTTAGGCACAGAACAAAGATATTTTTGATAAATAGTTGTCTTACAATTTTAAAATAAGATGGAAGGATAAAGGAAACCTTATTTCAGCAATTTGAAATAAATATCTGTAATTAAAGTTAGTTTTATAACACTGAAGCTAACTTTGACAGTTTACTTTTTTAAAATATACAAAGCTTACTTCATATTACTAAAAATAGTGAAAGCTAGCAAAGAAAGCAACTTTTGAAATATTCTAAAATTGAGACTTCCCACTAAATCATATTTAGTCTAAGAATTCTAAAACAAAACCCTCACTGGAATGAAGACTAAATGGTTACTGGAAATAAGTGTGATTATTTTTTTTCCGTCTGATTTTTGCCAGATATCCTTATGTGTTTTCATGTTATAACTTTGTAATTATTACAAAATTGTGTGAGAGATACACTTATCATCCCAGCATCATAAGATGAAGTCTCTGGGATGGGAGAGGCTTGGTAGTTGGCTCAGACTCAGTRTTGGCACTGGGATTTATTAAATCCAGAGCTCACTGCTTCCTCTCCCTTGTAGAAGGGCAGATCTCTAGGCCCCATGAGAAATGAGGGCAGAAAGAATTTTGATTAAAGTTCTGTTCAGTCCTTTGGCATGTCATTCAGTTCTCATATTCCATCAGATTGAGTCAAGGGGTAAAAGGTACTTTAAAAAAAAATGTTTTCATATAAAAGCTTTACCTAGAGCCAAGAGAGCCACTACCTGGCACTATCATAAAAATTTAAAAAGGAGAAGTTTTATTTTGTTTTTTAATTCCAAGTTTTATTTCTCTTTTGTTGATCCTAAGGTAGTTCAACATTTGGGGACATTGGAGCTTTTATTTCTTTGACTTTGATGGCTTCTAGGCCTCTATTCCATCATATGAAGTGCAATGGTCTTTTTCTCTCAAGCAATTTGTCATCTTTTGATGAATTTATTTAAAGCTAAAAGCTTTTTCCTTTTCTTCCATGAAGAAAAAAATTTATGGTTAAAATGTAATGATTCATACAGRACTCTGKCAAAAAACCACTCAACAATGAATCTGAATTAACTGATTGTAACATGATTGTTTTTTATGTTTAGAATTAAAGTTTATAATTCTATTTATTTATTTATTTTAGGATGTAATTAAAGCCATTGTACAGAGTGGTGGCATCAAGCATCTAGTTACCATGGCAACTAGTGAACATGTAATAATGCAGAATGAAGCCCTTGTTGCTTTGGCATTAATAGCAGCTTTAGAATTGGGTAAGTACCTCAGTGACAAATTTATTTTCTCCTATTTTTATCTTGGATAAAAGGAAGTACAGGAGTGGAATAAAAGTCAGATAAAACCTTAAAACAGATTTTTTTAAAAAGTCATATAAAACCTTAATCGGAAGCATTTTGCCAGTGTGTATATGTCCTTGTATCTGAGTAAATGAAATCATATTACATAGTTTGTTTCCATAAGCTGTTTCCTTTGGTTGTGTTTTTGGTAACATTTTTAGGGAAATGCTTTAAGTTTAACTTTTAGGTTATATCTCAGTTTATAGCCACTTAGAGAATATAGAAAACATTTTTGGTAGGCTTTACATAAAAATGAAATAATGCTTAAAATACCACAGCAAGTGAAGAATCTGTCATTCTTCTTGTGACCCAGAGATTCTCTTCCATCCCTTCTGATTCTATTAGAGTTCTCTCTTGCTCATCTTCTCTATCACCATGGTTTCTATTGTTTTGTAGCATTGCCTTCTCTAAATTCTTATCTTCTGTCACTCTTCTGCATATTTTGTGTTCAAAACTTCCAAAAAGCAGTCCAGATTATTCCATTAGTTTCTCCATCATCCCTGTGGGCAGTATTCCACCCAAGCTAACTCATGCACACCTAACATATGGGAAGCAACCTTTGGCTCAGGAACCAATGGACTGATATAGTCATTCATGGACTGTGTATCAATGTCATACAGCCTGTGATTAAGGCCTAAGGCTGCTTTACATGAAGAACTATACACTGGTAGGCATGTCATGTCCAGTTGTAAGCCATATGTGTAAACACTATTAACGCATCTCTCATTCCTACTGATATGTACATCCATAATTCTCACACAGAGGCAAGTAGACCCATCAACTTGAGAAGGCAAAAGCAGAAGAGAAATATGGCACATCTTCCTCTAGTGTAAGATTTACTAGATTTATAAATAAGATGTGAATTTTTGTCATCTTAATTTAAATAATTATAAAACTTATACTATAAGTAGAATGTAAAAATGCTTCAATTTGAAAGATAAAAAGACTGAGAATGACTTTGGCGGATGGTTAGAGATGCTTTGGAGGTCCTTGCTTAGTCTCCCACTGTTTAGGTAGATTATAAGAGTCTCTCTAGAAGTCCACACACTCTAAGTGCSGAGGCCTTGAGAATCAAGACGTGGTATCAAACCATCTTTGCTGGTCTAATTTTAAATGGCTCAGGGAGGGAGCAATTAAAGAATATTTTGATCTCCCAGCCTAAGGTGAAGCTGGTTTTATGTCCTACATATATTGTATCTTCCAAACAAGGTAGTTTCATGAACTTCCTGATAGCTGATAATTTGTTTCTGAGTCTGGTCACCTTACATACAACTATATAAAATGACAATACAAATGCATATTTTTATTGAAACCTAGTGTTTCCTAGGCTTCTTAAGCCTAAAATACAAAAATAAGGTCATTCTACCTTTTTGATGTATAACATGCTTTGGAAAGCATATTTCTCCAGTCTTGTGTCATTATAGAATATCTTATGTTAAGGAATTATCACTATAAATTTTTATATAATAGGAATAATAGAATTTTAAGAATCTTCATCTCTTTTTTAAAGATAATTATATTCACATATATCGCAAATAGTAATAGAGTGAATCATTTATAACAGTACCTATAAAGATTATGAACATCCATAATTCTCACACAGAGGCAAGTAGGCCCTTGCCTCTGTATTCACATATATCGCAAGTAGTAATATAGAGTGAATCATTTATAACAGTACCTATTTCCTTATCATCCACCTTGTCCCTAACCCCTTGAAAACTATCTTTCATTTCTATACCTATCATTTCAAAATGTTACATAAATTAGATCATAAAGTATGTCATTCTGGGGGCTTGGCTTCTTTTGTCTGTTTGTTTGCTTAGCATAATTCCTAAGACTCATCTGTTATCAATGGTACATGTTCATGTTCATGCTTTTGTACTGCTGAATAGAATTCCATGGTATGTATGTACCAGCTTGTTTACCCAGTTCTCTGTTAAGGATATTTAGGCTGATTCCAGCTTTAAGTTTTCATTTTTCCAGATAAATGTCTCTGAGTACACTGCTGGGTTATATGGTAGCTTCATGTTTAGTTTTTAAAGAAACTTTGAAACTCTTTTCTAAAGTGGCTGTCCCACCTTAYGTTCTCAATAGCACTACATAAGTGATCTAATTCTCTCTAAATCTTCACCAGCATTTGATCTCAACACTATTTTTTTTTTATTTTAGCCATACTGACAGCTATATTGTGATATCTCTAGTTTTAATTACTATTTCCTTAATAGTTTACAATACTGAACATCTTTTCATGTCTTTATTTGCCATCTTTATATTCTTCGGTGAAATCCGTATTTTATTTCTTTTGCCCATTTCTAATATTTTTCACCTATGGAAGTTTGAAAGTTCTTTATTCTAAAAGATTCATGGTTTTCGTTTCACATGTAAGCCTGTGCTCCATGTTGAGTTAATTAATATCTGTATAAGGTAAGAGGTTTAGTTCAGAGTTGTTTTTTGTTGTACCTCAAATTGCTGTCCCACCATTGAGAAAACTTTCCTCCACTGAATTGATTTTGTACCACTGTCAAGTACCAATTGATAATATATGTGTGGGAACCCAAAGTGTCCTCTATTCAGTTCCTTTGATCTGTGTATCTGTCTATCCCTTCACCAATCACTCCACCTGTTTTGATACTGTAGCTACACTATATGCCTTAATATCATAAATAATAATAATATAGGAGAAATTCTTCTACATCAAGTTGTTTTAGTTATTCTAGGGCCTATGGTTTTTCCATATAACTTTTAGTATAAGCATGTCTGTCTTATTTTCTAAATTGCCTTTTATTAAGAGGAATGTTTTAATGATGAATCATAAGCCAAAACTCCTGAAATCTAGTATTGTTTACTATTTTCACAAGGTCTGAATTTAATATTTTCCCTTTTGGAAAGGTTCACATGGTTAGTTTCTAGAAGCAGCAGCAGTGGTTAGCTAAGGGTACTTGGTTCATACACAGTGGATATAACTTACTTTTTAATTGTTTGCTATTCTAGGAACTGCTGAAAAAGATCTAGAAAGTGCTAAGCTTGTACAGATTTTACACAGACTGCTAGCAGATGAGAGAAGTGCTCCTGAAATCAAATATAATTCAATGGTCTTGATCTGTGCTCTCATGGGATCTGGTAAATATTTCTTCTATGGTTGACATCAAATATAAAGTATAAATGCTGACTTTGTGTATAAATAGCATTAGAAACTAGTTTATGGAGATTATAGGTTGCTTTTACACTGAAAATTCTCCCAAAAGATTTTTTTATAATGAAAAGTATCATATAATAAATAAAAGCAAAAAACAAGTTAATTATATAAAATAACATTTTAGGGTCAATAAAACTTATAAAAAAAGAAGTTCTGATTTCGTATGCTAAGCTACTCCCTAAGGAATTCTTCAAGGAATCTTTGGTATTTGTACCATGGACACTTGAAAAGAATGTGTATTCTACTGTTGTTGGGTAGAGTGTTCTACTCTAAATTCCAATTAGATCCTGTGGGCTGGTTATGGTGTTGAGTATCCTATATTCTTGCTGGGTTTCTGACTAATTATTCTATCAATTGTTGAGAGAAGAGTGTTGAAATCTTCAAATGTAATTGTTTTGTTGATTTTTTTTTTTTTTTTTTTTTTTTTTTTTGGTGCTGGGAATTGAACCCATGGCCTTGTCCATGTGAGGCAAGCACTCTACCACCTGAGCTATATGCCCAGCCCCCAAGTTCTGTCAGTTTTTCCTTCCTATATTTTTTAACTCTATTTGTGTGGATTTAAGATTGCTGTGCCTTTAAAGATTGACTCTTTTGTAACTATGTAATATACCTCTCCATTTTTTCTTGCACTGAATTCTACTTTATCTGACAGTAATATAGCTGCTCCTACTTTCTTTTTTTCTTAAAATATATATATATAAAATTTTAGTTGTCAATGGACCTTTATTTTATTTATTGATATGTGGTACTGAGAATCAAACCCAGTGCCTCATACATGCTAGGCAAGCGCTCTGTCACTGAGCCATAGCATAGCAGCCCTGCTCCTGCTTTCTTTTGAATTATATTCATATTACCTCCCTCCACCTTTCCAGTTTCCATTTGTATCATTAATATTTGAAGTGTCTTGTAGATAATTTAGTGGAGTCATGCTTTATAATCCACTCTGCCAATGCCTTTTGATTAGTATGAATATTTACATTTAATGTAACGACTGATATCTTTTATTGTGTGTGGTGCTGGGGAYTGAATGCAGGGCTTTGTGCATTCGAGGAAAGCACCACCTGAGCTATATCCCCAGCCCACAACCAATCTCTTATGGTTTAAGTGTACAATTCCATTTTTCTTTTTTTTTTTTTCAGACCTTCTGTAGGTTGCTTGAACAAGTTCTAGTTCCTGTACTCTTCGTATTTATAATTTGTAATTAATATTTTCTCTATATACATTTAAAACTAGACTCTCATAATTTTTGCTTCACTAATTGAATGTGATACAAAAAAAATTCTTAGGGAAAATCTACTGTATTTACCCTTGTATTTAACCCCCGCCCTCACCTTTTCTTAATCATTTCCTTTGAATCAGAAAACTCCCTTAACCATTTTTTTAGGTTAAGTAATCTACTAACAGCTTATAGTTTTTCCTTCCTTATTTCTCCTTCATTCCTAAAAAAGTGTCTTCTCTGGATAGACTATTCTGGGTTCCTAGTTTTGTTTTTTGTACTTGAACAAATGCTATGCCACTTTCTTCTAGACTCTTCTGGTATCCGTGGCTTCTGATGAGACAGCCACTGTACTCCATTTCCCCCTGCCCAAGTAAAATGTCATTTCTGTCTCCCAAATTTTTTTCATTTTAAACCTATCATTTATGACATGGGTTTATCATATGTGAAGTTTGTTCATCTTTTTGCATCTATAGGTCATGTCTTTTACTATTTATTCAAGTATTTATGCAGCTCTGACCTGTTGTCTCATTCCAGGTATCTGATGAGAGATTTAGTTATAGTGTTAAAGCTCCTGAGAATTTAGTTTTTCTCTTTTTTTTTCTTCTGGTGTTTAAAGTGAGCAATTTTTGTTTTGTTTATTGGTACTGGGGATTGAAACCTGGAATGCTTTACCACTGAGCTACATCCCTAGTAAATTGCTGAGGCTGGCCCCAAACCTACCCTCCTCCTTCCTCAGCCTCTCCTGGAATTATAGGTGTGTGCCACTGTGCCCAGCTTCTTCTGTTCTGTCTTAAAGTTCACTGATTATTTCTTCTGTTCCCTACATTCCAGTGTTAATCCTGTCAGTTTTTTTTAGTTATGATTCTAAAAATCATACTAAAATCATACCATTTGCTTATTCTTTATATCTTCTATTTCCTTGATAAGACTTTTTTAAAAATTTGTTTTAAGCATGTTCATAATTCTTGAGCTACTTTTTAATTGCAGTAAAATATACAAAATTCTATTTTAACCATTTCTAAGTACATAGTGGCATTAAATACATTAAGTATAGTTAAAGCTGTGTACCATTCATCTCCATACCATCTTCCATCCTCCCAAAGTGAAACTCTGTACACATTAAACCACAGCTCCCCATATACTCCTACCGTCTGCCTTTATGAATTTCACTGCTCTTAGCACCTCATATAAGTGAAATGATAAGACGCAAAATGACAGATATTTTATTTAACTTAGCATACATCTTTAAGGCTCATCAATGTTGTAGCACATATCAGAATTTCATTCCTTTTTAAGGTTGAAATTTTTTTGTCTATCCCTCTATTAATGGACATTTAGATTATTTCCATCTTTGGCTCTTGTGAATAATGCTGCTGAGAAGATAAATATAAAATTATCTCTATGAATCCTTATTTTCAGTTCTTTTTGGTGTTGCAGAAGTGGAATTGCTGGTAATTCTGTTTAATTTTTTAAGAAGCTGCCATAACTGTTTTCCATAGTGGCTGGGCCATTTAACTTTTCCACAGGTAAAACATATGGACTCCAGTTTCCCAATGTCCTCACCAATATTTATTTTCTCTTGTTTCTGTAATAGCCATTTTAATGAGTATGTGGTGCTATCTTTTTTTGTGATTTTGATTTGCATTTCCCTAATGAGTAGGGATGTTGTAGATCTTTTCATGTGCTCGTTTATAAATCTTCTTTGGAAAAAATGTCTATTCAAGTCCCTTGTCTATTTTTAAAATTGTTTTGTGTGTTGAGTTGTAAGAGTTCTTTATGTTCTGGATATTAATCTCTTATTAGATATGATTTACAAATGTTCTCCTATTCTGTGGGTTGCTTTTTTACTTCATGATAATGCCCTTTGTTGCGCAAAGGGTTTATTTTGATGAAATCCAGTTCATCTATTTTTTTTTCTTTTGTTGCCTGTATTTTTGATGTCATATCCAAGTACTCATTGCTAAATCCAAGGTCATGGAGTTTTTTCATTGTTTTCTTCTAAACACTAAGTTTTAGCTCTTTGCTCTATTTTGAGCTTATTTTTGTATATGGTAAAGATTCAAGTTCATTTTTTGGTATATGGTATCCAGTTTCTTCAGCACCATTCATTGAGAAGACTGTCCTTTTCTCATTAAATTGTCTTAGCCCCTTTGCCAAAAATCATTTGACCACATATGTGAGGGTTTATTTCTGAGCTCCTTTCTATTAGTCTGTTATGTGTGTCTGTGTACSAGCACCATGATGTTTTGATTATTGTGGCTTTATATCAAGTTTTGAAGTGGTGACCTCCAATTTTGTTCTTTTTCAGGATTGTTTTGTAGATTTTTTCCTTGAATCATTTCCATTTTTACTAAAAATACTGATTCTAGTATTAGATGTCAGTCCTATCAAAATAAATATATGAACTTTAGGAGTGTTGATTTAATTTATCAGATTTCCCCCTTCCATAGTAGATTCTCACAGTCTTAAAAGGAATCTGATATTTTCCTATAATTAAGGTTAAACAGAGCCAGGAACACGAAGATAGGAAATCTGAAAGGGAGCCCGGTGTCACAGAAATTTGTTGGAATGATGTGAAGTATAAACTTCATTTGCCACCAGATTAATTTGAAACAGATTCTAAGGGTTTCATTATTAAATCATTGGACTTCATGTTTGAACTGGTGAATAGGGTTCAGTTGTAACTGAACTTTGAGATCATACAATGAACTGTATTTAATTATAACTCATTATCCTAATTGATCTTAGACTATAGACCTTGGCATGATTTCTTTATAAAAATGTTTCAAATATAGTTTATGATTTATTACATTTCTATGCCTAGAATTGTTCCTAGTTTATATAGTGAYATTAAAACTACCTAACACAACTACATCTGCCATCTTGTTTTTGCCTTCCAGAATCTCTACACAAGGAAGTGCAGGATTTGGCCTTTCTAGATGTTGTATCCAAACTTCGCAGTCATGAGAACAAAAGTGTTGCCCAACAGGCCTCCCTAACAGAGCAGAGACTCACAGTGGAAAGCTGAGAACTGCCTCTCCCTGACACGCGGCACCATCCCATCTAATTTCCCCTTTGTCCTCCATCCAGCTGCCTCTTCCACTTCATTCTCTACCACATCACTTGTGCATGCGTGTAATGTTCCAATATCAATTGAAGAACTGCTGTAGGTACCTGCCTAATAAGATTTCTAAACCCATAGTTAGTGTGAACATGACTGTCAAAACAAGTCTCCACCCATAACTGTTCTCTTGTATTCCTGTTGCTTGAGCTACATTAAGTAGAATGTGCATGTTGTAGTCCTATGATGATGTAAACTTGGTACAACATAATGACTTGCTCCTCACATGCAGTAAACCACATAATAACGTACTGGTAAATTAGAAACAAAGAATGCAGCAGGATCTGTCTAGCTTGAAGATGAAATTGAATAGTAAAAAAAAAGTAGCTCCATTTCTCTTTTTTTTTTTTTTGGGGGGGGGGGGTACTTGGAAAGCACAATGACCAAAACAAACTGTATGGCTGCTCCTTGGTTAGTCCTACCTACTAATGTCAATCCCATGGTACCTAGAGTTAAATAAAATTCCAGTGCTCACTCTTTATCCTATGATTTTTCCTGTTCCTAACTGTGTAGACTACTGAAAACTGCTATAACCTTGGCAAGACTTCTGAGGTTTCTGATTGATTCCATATTTAATTGACAGTCATCAATAGCCTAATATTGAAAACAGTTGTAGTTTTCAGTGTGGTTAACACTAAGAGGTTAAAGAATCCCTTTTTTGAGTTTTGCCTGTGGCACCTTAGATTCTGATATATGTGTAGTTTCATCTCAGAACTCCTTCCATCACTTAATCGGCATTGTTAACATTTGTCTTTAAAAGCCATTGGCATTTGTTTTCAACTGAGGAAAATTGAGTATAGCACATTTAAGAATGTATTTTTTCTGTCTTTCATCATTCAGGTTGAAAGCAAGAAGTTCATCTTTCATAGTCCTTTTTAAGCCTTATAGTGAGACATAGGAGGAAAGATGAAGAAAATAAGCTTGTCTAGACTAAAGAAAGGAAGGCAGGTTATAAAAGCCATAGTAGTCAGTCCAGTACATCCTGCAGGTGGCCTCATACTAATCACTATTCGGGTTTCCCACTCCACTTTCCCTCTGAGAACTACAGTAATCTTATAGGCTGTAAGAAAGCCAAGACTTGAGAAGAACCCCTTGGCAAAATATAGTGTACTCTTCACTGCCAATACACTATGGGTTTTTAGAGCTTTGACACACGATCTTTGTAAATTAATCAGAATGTCCCTGTGACCCATCTGCCTTCTCCCCATACCCAGGTTTGACCACTACTGGCCTACAAGGGAGGCTGGGCTTCACTCCAGGACTGCAAGGCAGCAGAAAAGGGCTGCCAAGGAGGGGACAGGAGTTCCTTCCTCTCTACCTGAGATGCCCATCTCTGTGTGATCTAAGTTGGACTTTTGACTCATACAGCTGTAATTCAAGAATGTTAAAACCCTAATGAAGAACCTTTTGATTGTTCCCTTTGATATCTAACTCTAAGGGACTATTGTGAGTGCTTATGCTACACTTTCTGTAAGAATGATCTTGTATTTATTGTTGTTCTCCTGGGCTGGATAGTGGACTCTATTTTGTTAGGTTTTGAAAGACATCTGTAATGTTACATAATAGACTATCCATATTAATAACTTAATAAATAGTGTATCAAACTATAATAGTATCATTTGGTTTATCTGTGTATTTTACATGTATCTGCTCATTGTGGGTACTCAATAAGTATTGGTGAAATGAATGAATTCCTACTTATGAAGTTTCCAGAATGCCTGAATTCATTCCAGATAGACTTGATTGATAAGTGATCTGTCCTTATTGAAAAGCATTATAAGGCAAGCCTCAAAACAGAAACATCCTAAAATCATAGAATTGAGAGAAGTCACCATTTGGGCTAGCTGCCAACAATCAATTCACTAATAACTCTAGTGCCCCAGCTCCAGCAAAACCAAGTGCAGGTCAAATCACCAATTCTACAGGAGGACCAGAAGGCTGTGCCATAGGATTACAGGGTCAGCAGTTAGTACACTAAACCACAGCAGTTTCTGGGAGAACACAGACTGTTCCATTCCTCATCTGCTATTACTAATTTTAGTTTAAAGGCCACTGTTAAAACCAAGGGAGAGAACTGGAAGAGCAGCATAACAAAGCTTGACCTGTCATCTTGTGACAGGTCTAGAGCACAGATGAAAAGCAGAACAGCCAAGAATCCCAGCATAGAAGATGCCTGAATGCAATGCACTAGAATGGTCCACCTTTCCCTCTGCCCCAATAGCAATCTGGAATCTTGCTAATCATCTGCCCAGATTGTAATTAGCTCAACAGTTGATCAAACGCTAGTTCAGAGTCCAGCGGTTCCCTTGATAAAACATTTGAGCATGCTATAAGAATGGAGATGTGAAAAAGTTTTTCAGTTCTAAAGTAGTTTCCTCTCAAATGGAACAGACTGTAATTCTGGATGCAAACATTAGTGTGGAGTGGTCTGAGAAATACTGCATGTGAAGAATTCAGAAAGATGCTCCTCGGTGCCATTAGAAGGCTCATCTAATTCCATTGAACATACAAAGTGAAGATGTCTGAATGTTAAGACATTTACTTAGGGTGAGCATTACCCTTTTGTGTCCAGCTGTTAACAGAATCAGTAAGTTTAAAAGCCCCTCAGCTCCACACAAATTCTAATATAAAAACACTTGGAAGAATGCACACTACCTGTCCCACTTCCTAAGCAAACCAGAGGATCAGGCTGGTGTTATGAGCAGCGCCATCTCCTCACAGGTAGCTCAGATAGTTACTCTGCTCCCTAGTATTACCAGTGCAGCTTTTAAGGAGTAAAAATGGAACAAGTTGGATACTAAGTCATTAAAGTTAAGGCTTAGGTAGAATTGAAGTTTATACCCATGACCACCCCAAAGCCAAACTTGCTTTTTCTTTTATGTCTAACCTCTCATCACATACTTGGAACTTAACTATGACCCAGAAATACATGGTTTTCCATGTAAACGTGTGTACAATCTTACTTTAACATGCTTAGCCACACAGTTAAAACCTCGTTCAGTATGTGCAAGAACTTATGGTGTTTGTCACAAAGGGCATACATATAGAGAGAGAAAGAGGCAAATTTTTTTCTGTTTTGGGATTCAGTTAAAATAGCTAGTAGTTGTTTTATTTATTTTAAGGAAGTATAAAGCCTAATTCTATCATTATTTGAAGTCCTTTCGTTTCAAGTTTGGGATTTTTAAATGATATAATTTTGAAGGTTTTTATTGTTAATTTGTTTTAGTTTTGCTTTTCATCACTGTGATCAAAATACCCAATAAAAACACCTTAGAGGAGGAGAAATTTATTGGGGGCTCATAGTTTCAGAGGTCTCAAGCCACAGGCAGCTAGTTCCACTGCTCTGGATCCAAGGTGAGGCAGAACATCATAGGGGAAGGGCCYAGTGGAGGTAAGCTTAATCTGCTCAGCTCATGGTAGGGTCAGGAAGCAGAGAGAACTCCACTTACCAGGGACAAAATACAAACCCCAGTGACCTACTTCCTCCATCCACACCCTACCAGCCTACAGTTACCCCCCCCCCAGTTAATTCATATTGGGGGATTAATATGCTGATGAGCCTAACCATTTTATCACTGAACGTTCTTACATCATCTCACATGTGAGCCTTTGGGGGGACATCTCATATCTAAACCATAATATCTTAAAGTAGAAACTTCTAAAGCCTTATCCAGGCTTCCAGTATATATACTTTAACAGTATATCTTTTTTTAAAAAAACATAATTTATTTTCAAGTATAATTGTGAGACATTACTATTAGTCCACTAGTTACTGTGTCATTTATTAATTTCCAGGAAGGAATCCTTATGAAGAAAAGAGAATCTAGTTTACCATCAGCTTACTGACAAAAATTAACTCCTACATGTATGTTTATTTTGCATTTATAACCACATCCACTTTAACATGGACCTCACTTCTGGCCAGATGTCTTTATTTTTCCCTTTGGAAARGGAGTGCCCTATAAAGAATAGAGCCAAGCCTAGTGGGAATGGAAAGAAGCCAAAACTGTCTACTGGTGAGTGGGTACACCCCTCCCTTCAGGGTGTCCATGTATTCACATGAAAAACCTCCTTAAGGGACTTTCACAGTATTTGTCCTGTTACCATCCTCCCATCACCAGAGGTCGGGGCCTCTGTCCTTGACTTCTTCAGGGAGATTCAGATTCTCTGCTTTACTCTGTGTCAAGTATAGGAACATCAGACAAACACTAAACTCACTTAGAATAACTGAATAAGGAAGGTTAAACAGTATTCTAAGATAATAGAAAGGCTTGGAGATCACAACCCAAAACAGAAAAAAGATGCAATATCAGGTGAAGAATGAGAAAGAAATCTAACTTCAGGCTCATCTTTACAGGAACCCAAAATAACTAATTTGAACTGCAGCCAACCATAGTAGACAACTCCCTTTACCCCACCCTCTTTTTTTTTTTTTTTTTAAGTTTCCAGAATGCAATCCTGGCTACCACACCTCTCCTATAATGACATGTAGGGGAGGAGTCCTGAGTGAATCATGTTCTATTCTTTTACCCTCACAATCTCATCTTCTAGTGCCCACCAAAGTTAAAGAAAGGGACACAGCAGAGTGAGCACTTCATAATATATTAAAGTAATCACTATTAAATCTCTGCTTCCCCCTCTCCCACCTCTTGCCCTCTTATTTCCCTTTCAGATAACAGAAATACAGGGACTTCCTCTGAAGCACAGGAAGTGAGAGCAAGATATACACTGACTAAGAAGAGCATCTGATGAAAATTCATTTTCTTTCTATACAAGGAGGGACTAACCAGGTGTTTGTATGTTTTATAACCAAATTGGAGAGTCAGTCAGTCTATGAAAAGCATGCTTTGTCATACCTGTGGCTACCATCAGACACAAAGTTCCAGAATGATATTCTGGCATTCTTCACTGCAGCAACTGCCCAGTGGGAGAATTTTACATAGTTTAAGTGTTATGTCATACGTGGCTACATCTTTTCCCACTTAGTAAGAATTTTTCACATTACTATAAGCTCTTGAGTTTTTTAAAACCTCATTTTAAATTACTGCATATTCTTCAATAACATGTCTATATCATAATTTACTTAACCTCTTCCCCACATCTGGACTTTTAAGATGTATTTTGAGTTTTGAAAAAAAAAAAAAAAAACCCAATGCTATCTTGAGAGCATTTTCTGAACTAAAAACTACTTTCTGCCCCCTATCCTAAATCAATAATAGCACCATTTTTTTCTTCCTCAAGGATCCTTATCCATTTCTCAATGTGGCACAGTTTCCTCAGCCTCCTTTCATCCTTCCTGGATACTCTGCTCCTTTTGTGGACCTCCAGGCACTTTTGTCACCTCCTGGACACTGTTCTGGCCAAGCCCTCCCACTCTCCTGAGGGTCCAAGACAGTGCCATCCTCCGGGGCAGCCAGGCGTTGTATCACTTATACCCAGTCATTTATCGCCACCTCCACTCCTCCCAAATATCACATGGGTCCCCAAAAAGAGAGGGGCAACACCTCACATCTCTAAACACCCTTGCAGCTGGTGTTCAGCTGCCTAATTGGAGTCTGCCTCTCAGCACTGTCATCAACAGCTCCCAGCACTTTTGCACCTCATACCAAGCCTGTGAACCAACCGCTCTGATTTGTTCCAAGCAGATAAACACTCTGCAGGCACTGCTCACATGGAGAGGGGCCAGAAGAGGGTGGAGAGCCTCTTCTTCATAAGAATCAGCAGGTATCAAATACTCCATGATTCTCTGCCCTGGCCAAACTGTTTCTTTCCCTATAAACGGAGATAGCATGTATTTTATATGGTCTGTATCTTTTTTTTTTTTTTTCGAAAAAGGAAAAGGAAAGGGTGAAATGGGTAGCATTAAACATTTAAAATTTAAATCATTTTGCATAAAAGTCTAGCTTCTGATTTGTCTTTAAAAATAGGAAGATCTAGGAGCTGAATCTCAGTGGGAAAGCCCGTGCTTAGGCATATAGGTCAGTGTAGAGCATGTGCTTAGTGTTTGTGAAGCCCTGGGTTCAGTTCTCTGCAACATCAACAACTAGTAAAGTCTAGCAATCAGGGACTCAATGTTGCCTGAAGGAGCATTTGGCTGTGGCCCATGCTGGACAAGGCATACCTCTCCAGTCCCCACCTGGTCCACATCCTGCGTTCACCTTAACTCCATAGCCCTGGAAACCCATGCAAATGTAACTCTGTGAAGACCTCAGATGCAAGGTCATCTGCTCCCAGAGCAGGAGCAAGGTGAACAGACTTTTTTGGTAGGGGGGAGTTCTTGAGCAAAATAAAAAATCCACCATTCTGGGGACAGTCCATGTGTAAAAGAGGTCCAAATATTTGACCCAAGGGCATTTCTATGACCTACGCAAAAATGCATTATTTTTATCCTCTCAGAGAGAAGACTTGACATTCTGAAGGCCAGTGACAGCTGCAGTCTGACTGGCAAGTGGCAGGAACATGGGAACAGACAGCTGCAAGCTGTGCCCAAGCCTGTGCCCACCCTATCCTGCTAAAAGGAGAGAGCCAGTGTTGACCTTGCCATCCCATAGCAGGGATGGCAGCATCCTATGGTGACTGCAGGAATTTAGAAAGTCCCTTCTTAGCCCAG